TTCTTGCTGGAGATTTCCACTCTACTACCACTCTAGGTTTAACAGAGCTGCTGCAATCATCAGATTTGCTCATGGGGCAAAGTTAAGTTCAACTTTAGTGAACTTTGATACATGAATTGACCAATAGCAAACCTTTAAGGGAACAGAACCAGGGAATCCAAAACTGAGCCTCTCTTCTGATTGGCTGACATGGCTGAGAGCGGTGGCTGCTTTGTTGTGACATCACAAAGTTACAGAAGTCCTGACGGCTGGTTTTAAGGCTCAGTTTCTCAATACAGGCTGTGGACTGAGCGCTTTGATACTTTCACAGTATTAATATAGAACCTAGACCTGCTTTATAATACACATGGACATCTACCCTTATACAATATAGGACCTTTAAAATGATGTTAACCATCTATTGTCTGGACTGGTCCCTACAGAGGATGCTACAATTATCTTTTCCGAGCTGCAGTTTATAAACACTGTTGCCTGTTGGTGTTTATCAAACATAATAAATAGCTGTATTTCACTATCACGTTTGCCAGGCACAAAGTCACAGAACAGAGACTGGAAGTGTCTGATGAGACACAGACAGACCAAGAGATGTGCTGCCCAGACAGATTGGAGAGAGATGCACTGTAAGCTTAACATTTACCTACTGCTAGACAAGTTTACCTGAATGCAATTCCCACAATTCACTCTTGTGGTGTTTGTTTATCTTTTCATGACCAGAGGGATAGTTCCACTTCAGCCTCTTATGATAGTTGTATACACTGAAGACAAGGGGGAGGTGGGGCCCTTGCGTAATTTACGGAGCCCTACACAACTGGCGAAGTGAGCGTACAGGCCCGCCTGGCTCTCAAAAACACGTAGGCATCGATAAAAGGAATTGATAAACTCGGGCGTGTACGATTCTGATGGATCTGACAATTTGGAAGCGGTTCTCGATTCTCATCCCTAGTGCGTCTTAGAATTCAGAGGTATGTCAAAATTAAGATGGAGAACCTGTCGGCCATGAGGCTTTAACGTGAGAAATAATGCGTCATTTACTCTTATTATTATTACAGCACACTATATTGTACGTGGAAGACTGGCACATTAGCTGCACCAAGTATCATTGCTCTGTTTTTGACCTTTACCATATCAAATCAGTGGACATCAGTAGACCTGTCAAAGCATACACTCACTGCGTTATATTTCAGTCATTTTGTGTGGAACAGACAGTACGTTGCTGATTACTGCAGCTCTGCTAAAGACAAACATGTGATTCATGTGATTCAGTCCTATTTTTATGTTGCAGCTCAGCATCAGGCCTTGATTAGCCATGACAAGGTAAGTTATTTATTCAGGAATTAAAAAGACAAGTAAAAATAAATAATAACCATCGAGTATTCAGCCAAGCCAGAGTATAGATAGTAGTTTATCTTTGGTGAGTTTTTGAGGTCCTGGATATATAAAATGTCTAAACCTGGACAATTAAACAAATTCTATTTGCATGACCCTCATTAAAACTTTATTTATTTTTTTCATTTCAAAAAACCAGAATCAAACTGGGGATGTCCCTGCAACCTGTTTGAAAGACACAAATTAAGTAAACACAACCTCAACAGCAGCAGTAGCAGCAGCAGGGATCCTCTGTGGCACAACATATTTACAGCTGGACTGTGCGTTAGCAGAACACATTGATTACTGAGTGAAATGCTTTTGTGTGTATTTGCTGGCGGGGGAAGCTGAGCAGGCATCCAGTCAGAAACACCACAGCCTCAGTGTGAAGCTCGGCCTTTACAGAGACACTGGCAGCACTTCTCTCACAAACATCTGAAGCAGCTCAGCTTGCCACGTGTTTGTCTGTCACAGCTTTTATTGTTTGAGCATGAGAATGTATCCTGCTCCTGCGGGGCGACTACCTGCACTAGTTCTGATGTACGACAAAGGAAGTGGGGGGTGGGGTCATGTTAGAGCAGACATGGAAAAAATGGAACTCCGCTTTCCTGTTTCTGTCTTTTTGTTTTATATATTTGACTTTCTGTCCTTTTTCTACCTGCTGGTCACTTATACATTCAGTCGCCAGTCTAATAAAACAGTCCTGTAATAAATCATCCTTCATGAAGGTTATTACATTCAGTTTGAATTAATTTAAAGGTCCCATATTTGCACTTCTCCTGTGTTTTATTTGAGGTGTTAATTCGTAAGAAGATATATTTGCAGTTTTAAGAACCAAAAACCATCTCAATGTAGTTTTACATCTCCTCTCTCAGGATTGTGTCAATTCCAATCAGAAGAGAGGAGGCTCAGAGTCTCTCTTCTGATTGGCTGACTGTTTTCTGAGTGATCCAGTATAAATATAGCAGATTTCAGGTACACACTCAGAAAAATCAAATCCTGCAAGTTGGATGGTGGGAGCAGTGACTGCCTTATTGTGACATCACAAAGTTACAGAAGTCCTGATGGCTGGTTTTAATGCTCAGTTTCTGAATAAAGGCTGTGTGCATTTCTCTGTGGACTGAGCGTTTTGATACTTCACAATAATAATATAGAACCTAGACCTGCTTTATAATCAAACAACATATGTCTACCCCTATCTACCCCTATCGATCTTTAAATTTATGGTCAATTTGGATTGTTATATCAGTGAGAACAGGCTAAATAACAAACACCTCTCTGTATAATGCAGTACAGTTCAGTAGCACCACAAACTACATCCTCCACCATGATCACACAGTTGAATCAATGCCTGTTTAAAACAATTTCAACAAAAGCTGACTAAAGATTAAAGCCTTCATGAAGGGGGATTTATAACAGGTCTGTTGCATTACACTGCATTAGTTTTAACCAGGTGTACCTAATAAACTGGCAACTGAGTGTAAAGCATATCAGTGATCCAACCACAGACAACACTGTAGAGGGAGAAAAACATATGATGTGAGGAATATTAGATTTCCAGCTAATTTAAAATGCTATGTTTTCAGTTCTAAGAGAAAACACCAACACACACACACACACACACACACACACACACACACACACACACACACACACACACACACACACACACACACACACAGGTAAATCTCAGAGGTATTGTGATACTCAACAGTTCACAGGTTTAACATCATTCTGTCTCAGCAGATTCTCTCTGATAGTCTCAGTGGCTGCTTGTTCCAGCTGCTGAAAACTGATGGAACTAACTCATATAACACACTGAAATAAAAGTGTAATTAACTGTGTTTAGCTGAGCTGCTACAGTGCAGACAGTTCGGACCAGTTTCACACAGTTATCGTAGATTTACTGTTTACCTCGGTGGCAGTGAGTATCTCTGCAGAAGGACACCTCATGAAAATGTCACATGCAATTAAAAGAGAATGGAGCAGCTCAGGCTTTAAATAATTCAGACAATGGAGCGTGATCTGGAAATTGGCTCCAAATACTGCAGCACTGCACTTTCCCCTTCACATATCTGAGTTCCAATCATTACCATCTCTCATACCTGAGTTATTATTTATTTAAAAGGCACCTTCTTTATTTCCGAACACAGTGATTAGGATTAAAATAATGATGTTTATAATGTCTGATCCTGCTTAATTATCTCAACTACACTGCTCAAAGAGCTGCTAGCACTACAATCATTTTGGTTTCAGCGGAAAGCTTTATCATCCAATCAAGAACTTAAAGGGACCATGATGACATCATCAGGGTCATCTTGGCTTCATCCTAAAGGGTAGCCTGTAGGGTTTTCTAGTAAACAAAAAAGTTATGTTTATATTCAGTGTTTCTTACCACTACACTCTGTATCCTCATCCTGTGCATTACTTTCCTCATAGAACATCACTTAGCTAATAGCTAATTTTCAGTAGTTGTCTTCTTCTGCTGTTACAGGTGCACTGCTATGTTTCTTTGTGCATCACCACCAAATGTTGATTCAAACCAAACATTGCTCCATAGTGGTACTACTGGTCAAAAAAGTCCTACCAAGCAGCTTTAAGTCACCTAATCTGTAATAAAAACTCTGTTATGAAAAGGGGTGTTGGGATTTAAAGACTTGGGTGTTTACCTGCAGGGGGGAGCATGGCATTATGGGAATTGTAGGTTCCAGTGTTTTTCAAGCTTGACTTATATTGTTTTAAATCCTGATTAAAAGGAACAATTCTGAGGCATACACTAAATACTTTTTAAGCAGTACAGTAATTTAGTGTAATCAACCAACCTTGCCTTGTTAACTTAATGTGTATGTGATCTTAATTTCAAATTAATTCTACTTAATTCAGTTGCTTTAACTTGAGGTCTTCTCATTTAAAATGATGAGTTGAATGAATGAGCTGCTGACACTTCACTGACCTCACTGAATTAAGTTTTCAGAGAAACAAAATGAGAATATTAACAAACCTCCCAGCATGCACTGTTTGAGAGTTAAAACTCCAGAGACTCTTATTTGTTTTTTTTTGTATAAACTGCTTCTGTGGCTCTTGAGTTTTGTCAAGTCTGAGAAAATAAACCATGATGATGTCAGCGTGATGTCATCAGAGTAATCTTGGCCTGGGCTCGGACACTACACATTTATAATAGAAAGCCTATGTCACAAAGTGAAGCTGTTCAGTTTGGATATTGACTGAACCAGTCATAGTCTAACAAAAAAAATTGTTGCATTATGGGAAATGAAGTCTCTTGTGAGTCACCCAACTTTATGGAAGTGGAGAATTAAATAGCTGGATTAACCCTTTAATTTCTAACAATGAAAATGGTCAGATTTAAAGATGATGAAGACCAGAAACGATACTTTAAGAATAAGTGTGTGCACAGACAGGAAAACTGAACCCTCTGATAAAAAGGACCTTTTAATGAAATTGCTTTCCCTGGTAATTTTTTCATTATTAAGACAGATGAGAGGGAGCAGGCGATAGAGACCCAGGAGAGAGATTCTTATGGGATTCAATCCAAGGCCGGCAGAGTGGGTGTGTGGATGGGGGTTATAACTATTGCACCACTGCTGATTATTCCTTTTCTCCTGTCATCTCTCCAGCAGCTCACCATGTCCGTACAGGCACCTGCGAGGTGGTGGCGTTGCATCGCTGCTGCAACAAGAACAAAATCGAGGAGCGGTCACAAACTGTGAAGTGCTCCTGCTTTCCCGGGCAAGTGGCCGGCACCACCAGAGCCGCTCCGTCATGTGTAGATGGTACGCTGCAGCAGCTGAATATTTCATGGGTTATCTTTTTTATTTTTTTTTTGCTGAGACTCCTTTCCACAAATCTTGAGGATTAGTTTTGCTGAGATCATCAATATTTCAGCACTAACTACCCCCACTTAAGTATAATTTCTGAGAGTCACTGGCAAGGGACATCATATAATGAGAGCACAGTTTGTTGTCAGATCACAGCTGCAGGTATTTACACATTAACAAGTCCTTATGAGTAATAACGATTTTTATTACTGCATGAATTCAAATATATAAATTTGACTTTAAGGGCTGCATATTAATGATCTAGGTTCATGGTCGAGCAGGTGCATTCAGGACGTGCGTAAATCCACTTCTGTTATTTTTACAGCAGAAAAACGTGGTTCACATGGTTCAAGAGGGTTGTATTTAGTTTCTTAATTAATCATGGGTGTGTTTTGGGTGGAATATGCCATAAACCAATGAGAGTGCCATCTCTCCTTCCCTTTAAAAGCCAGTTCTGTGCCCTGTGTACCCGCCTATTTGGGTGCATATTACTCTCTTGATAACTTGCCCTTAACATAACTGCGCTGTTGACTTCAGACCAGGTTCTGACTGATTATCCGCTTTCCACAATGCATCAACAAAGCACCTGACCACACCTCATCTTGAGGCCAACATATCCCAACAACGTGGACAGGAAAATGACAAATGTGTCAGTCTGACACTAGCAGAGAAACTTGTGCTGTGCGCCGGGCGTCAGATTCATACGCTCTGGGTTTTAATTATTTTCTCAATAAATTGTTGAGACTATAAAATGGCAGACGGATTAAAGTGTTCACCGCTCACCTGGCTTAAAGGCTCTGCAGGTGCAATGAAAAGCATAAAAGAGAAGAGCTTGACACACAAGAGTCTGAACTGACTCACACTCCAGGAATTGGCCCCAGTGCAAAACATTTGTGTATCCTTGACACAAGATCATGCTCATGGATATTGTTGTTCCATTCCATGAGTGGACTACAAAGATGGAAGATAAGGGATACAATGTGCCAGACAAAGAAGTTAATATACTGTGCCCCTCACTTATATAGTTTCAACCTGTCAAAATGCTCATCTGAGTCATCTTCACTTATTATTGTGTGTCTTTAAGCTATACAAGTAGTAGTAAGTTATTTGATGGATGTTGCCTCTTAGTTAACATACAGTACACGCTGCTCTGTCTTCTTGGTGGTGGTTGCTGGGGGTGCAAACTGTGAGGAAGCCTGCAGACACTATTCAGGGCGGAAAAACACCCCACAACTCCTCTGCATTTTCAGATTGTAAAAAATCATGGAGCTGTTTTTAATTTACAAAATCATTAGTGTGTTATATTTACATTATAACAAATCAGGTAATGGAATCTGTGATGTCAAAAATAAAAAATCAGTTTTGGGGAAAAATATTAAATATTAATTAATAGCAGGTCTGTAGTAAATTATATAAAAACAAGCCTGTAGTAAAGGTTTGAGTATCCAGCAGTAGTAGCAGTCGTGGCTGGTAGGTGTAGGTGAGGTATCTCTCAGTATTAGCGGCTATATTGCCAGTACTTCCTGAATCTCCTGTCTGATTGAATGACATATTATTTGCCATCAGTGAATACTGTCTGCTGAATTCTGGCTCATGGACATTTTCTTTTATCACTTCTGAATGAGCGCGAAACTGTCCACTGTAAAGTCAATGACTCAGAGGGTCTCTTAGCATGCTAATGGGTCAGACCCCGACTCGGCTGAAGTGGCTGCTTCACTTTGGTCTGAAAAGCGAAGGTTTCTGGCTAAACTCTGGACCCAATCATGTTTGACCTATTCCTTGACATTTAAGTATTGACATTTTCTGCAAATTAGAGCTGTGAGCCACCGGCCTCAGTTTAAAGCTCCATGGGTGATCTTAGGAAAAAATGATCAGCACTTAACCTTTTAATTATTCTTTCTTCTACAACCAGGGATTTACCTTTAGCTCAACTCTGTGAGACAATCACCTCTTCATATGAAGATAAATGAACCTCCAGACATTTGAGAAAACATGAATCCATTTGAAATTCAGAAGATGCAGAAAATACCTGAAAATTTTACTGAAAGTGTCTCAATCACATGGAGACTTTTGATTTAAATGCACCTTCTAGTTGATGCTGAGAAAACACACTGTAACAAATCTAAAGAATACTTCTGACTTTTTATGCCCCTAGTTTTAGTGAAGGGATATTTACAGATTGTATCCTATAACTACATCATCATCATCAGTTACTCACAGAAACATCAGTCTGCCTCTGCATTCAACGTTAGATCAGCATTAATCCACTGGACTGGAGTCAAAGTGGTTCACAGGTGAAGTCCAGAGGATGGATTCATTTTAACCTGATAAATGAGATCAGCTGATGAAAGGCCAAAGCTGCAGTACAGCAGCATACAAATACTCGTTACTACGTTACTCTATTAGTTCTATTAGTAAACAACCTGCATTAAAAATGTAAATCAATGTATTATTATGAAAATGCACTGCAAGTATTAAAAGTTAAAGTCAGTGTAATACTATAATGAATTATATTATTTGATTATTATTCCTGATGCATTAATGTGAAAGTAGCATTTTACTGTTGTAGTTGGTGGAGGCCGAGCTAATTTGAATTATTTTATATATGGTTGCTTAGTTAAATGCCCGACAAGGTTTTTATTTAAAACTGATAATAGGTTTGTATTTACAATCCTAATTTGCAAAGTAACTAAATGAATGTGAAACAAATGTATTGGAGTAAAAATTACAATATATTTTGTACTTCCTATTGTGTAGTATAGTGTAGTGGAAGTTTAAAATGGCATGAAATAGAGAAAGTATTCAAGTACTTACATTTGTACTTAAATAAGCATTTGAGTAAATGTACTTAGTTGCATTGGTCTATTTGAGTCATGAAGTTCACATAAGAAAGAAAGTAACACAGAGCATCAAAATAAAAATGTAATGTTACTATGACCTTTCCTGAAAAAGTTTAATAAGATCAAATGTAGACAGTCAGTTACAAGAGACAGATTTTAAAGCTCCATATTTTACACTTTTCCTATGTTTTATTTGAAGTGTTGATCCATAAGAAGATATATTTGTGGTTTTAAGAACCAAAAACCATCTCAGTGTAGTTTTACATCTCCTCTCTCAGGCTTCTCTCTGGAGTTTTAGCAACAGCAGGTCGGTGAGCCAATCAGAAGAGAGGAGGTCTGAGCCTCTCTTGGGGCATAGCTGAGAGCAGTGACTGTTTTGTTGCGACATCACAAAGTTACAAAAGTCCTAACAGCTTTAAGGCTCAGTTTCTGAATACAGGCTGTGTGCATTTCTCTGTGGACTGAGCGATTTTATACTTTTACAGTATTAATACAGAACCTAGACCTGCTTTATAATCAAACAACACGTGGAAATCTCACTTTATACAATATGGGCCTTTAAGGATTGTCAAATTGATTCGGCAGAGGCTTTTAGTTCCTGGTTTTGGTCATAATCTAAAAACATACATGGGTCTTTTGGCCAATAAATCTTCATCAAATCAACTTTTTAAAAATCTACCATCAGTATAACAACTAATGCTCCCATTGACAATTAAACTGAAATTGATGTGTAAAATTTGTGAAGGGCTCCGTTAACTGCAAAATTACAAGTGAACTAGAACTCCATGACGTCACACTCTACATGCTTTGGCCACAATCCAAAGACACTCAGACTGTGATCTTCACTGCAGGCACATGGATGTAATTAAGGCATTTCTCCATTTGATTAAAAGATGAATGACTCGATTTTTAAAGTTTTTGTAAACATAAGACAATTAATACATCAGCTCGCACCACTCAATGTGTTCTAACAGGATTGAGTCGCGAGCCCTTTAAATGTGAAAAAAAAAAAATCACGTCTGATCGTTTATGAATAAGAGCTCAAGGTCAAAGCAAAGCCGTGTAGGAAATTTTTACTGCTACAATAAATAAAATAAAATAAATAAAATATGAATCTATTTTTTGCTCCCAGATGTTTTCAGCCTTCGTGTTTTTAAAGCATCATTAACTGCTCAGTGAAATGTATCCCCTGCACTTTATCTATGTTTGGTTATCAATACTCCCATTTCATTTCACTGGAAACCTCTGTGGCTTTTTAATAGCCGCTGCTGCACCACCACCACCATCTGCTCGCAGTTGACCTGATGCACTTGTTACACTGCACTGCTGCTACAACCACGGCTGTGAGATACAGAGTGATTCCCTCATGTCATAAAGAATCCATTCTGTGCAATTTACTCCAGTGAGGCTCCGGAGTTACGTGTGGATTATAATAACCAACTCTTCATTAGGAAGAACACTAATGCTGGTGGAGGGGGAGGTGGAACATAGATAATGACCTCTGTAATACATTTAAATAATGTGCTGTACGATGGAGTAGCAGAAGTTTAATGCTCTCTCACTGCGGCGGATCAAGACCTGAAGCTTTTTCCGCTTTTCCCGTCTTCAACATGCATTTGTGTGGAAAGGCTCAAAATAGAGTTAGTGAGCGTTGCCAGTCAAAAAGCAAATGTTACATCACTTACCTCAGACAGCTGTCAAAATGTGACACGGCTTGATGAGACACACCTGTGACGATTTGATTGGTGTTTGAGGAGACGCCTCATATCAGACTCATAACATCATGGAAATGTGGAAAATCTTGTCCTGAAACAAATACAAAGAAAACAAGGTCATCTAAATGATCTTTCTGCAGAGGTGTAGAGTTGAGCATGAAGCTGAAGGTGAATTGATTTGGTGTTAGCCTATTTTGCACAACAACATTCACGGAAAGGTAGGCTAACATAAGCTAACATAAATGTCAGATGATGTTAACAGTAACATCTTTTTAGGGAACATCTGTGAAGATATAAATAGTTGACATCCACAGGAAACAACACAAAAAATGAAAATAACGCTAACGTTACATCCACAGTCATTAATGATGCTACGTTTTGTTTTGGGGATGTTGGCCTGTCTGTGTTCATGGTTTGTCCTGAACTGTTTTGTTGCTTCTTTCTATCGCAGTTTGCTCCATAAATCAGAACGTGTTAGGTTAACTAACGTTACTAGCAAAGATGAAGGCTAACGTTACTGGAATATGTGATTCTGCTAATTAGCCCAATGGGTCAGGCACTATTTAACCAATCAGACACAGGGTGTGATTTCACAGATGCGTTCAGGTCTTTGAATTACACTTTGCATTTCAACAATAATTAGTTATCATTCGTTCGTCTGTCCCATTGTCGTTTAGGTTTTATTGTAATACATTTAATAATTAGATTTGATAAATGAACACTAGCATGACGGCTACAGACGATAAGATTTATTTATTTATTTTTTTGACCTCCATTCTTGTCCACTAGCCTCGATAGTGGAGCAGAAGTGGTGGTGTCAGATGCATCCGTGCCTTGACGGGGAGGAATGCAAAGTCCTTCCTGATCTGAAGGGCTGGAGCTGCGCTACAGGGAACAAGATCAAAACTACCAAGGTAAGTTTGACAGACAAACCTGTCACTGTATTGTATTCAAACCTGTTGAATCTGACCTCACACACTGGCGACTCTTCAAAGTCAAGAGGTTGTGGCTTCTGTTACAGTCACCTGCCCCGCCTCGACCCTAAAAACAGCTAATGTTTGCAGTCGGTTTCCGGACCCCCAGGGGCCTGTAATCAATGGGCTGCCATGTCTCCTTAGCACTTTCAGGCCACTTTGAGCAGCCAAACCGGCCAATTACTCACTCCAATTACTTGCTTTTAACGTTGTAACACGATGCCCATATCCTTCACCGTGTTATGACGACCCATGGACTTCAGTTCTGCCTCTCTCCATGTACTTAATTATTTAAACTGCCCGCACCACACCTGCTTGGAGCCAGGAGCCTGGAGCCTGGGGCTATTGATTCAGGGACTTGTCGGGACCTCAGAATGGGATATACATATTATATATATATATATATATATATATATATATGTATTTTTTTTTTCTTTCTTTAATGAGTCCAGGCCACTGAGACAAGCCTGGGTGTCTGGTGATGTTTGAAAATAATTTTTTGGTAATTATCAGGTCTTGATGAGACCTTTACGTATGAAAGCTGAACATATCTTTTCTTTTCTCGTCTCTTCAAACATGGATGACTGGAAAAGATTTCTGCAGACAGAGACCAGCTTTGGTAACGTCAGATGCTTCACAGCAGAGTCCAGGTAATCAACCTGTTCGTATTTGAAGTTTTAACTTGTCTTTATTCTTTGTCGACCAAACATCCAACTGAAAAATACAGAAATTCCCAACAGGGATCATTACTGTGTCTCAGTATTACTTCATTGTACAAATAGAACATTTGCATATAATTTACTGTGTGGTGTTCCCTCCCGTGTCAAATGGTATTATTAACCACGTTTCCCAGTGGTGTCAGTCCTCCAGAGACAGAAAGGAAGAGTGAGTCAAGGTGTACAATCCACAAAGACAACAAAAACCAGTTCAAAGCATCATCATCATCACCCAGCGGATTCATCTCGCACACCTTTGAACTCAGCGAGAGAAACAACTTTCTTAAGTTTCCGAATCTTTCTGCAAGCTGAAGCAGCGGGGGGTCACCCTTTCTTCGGGGGGGGGGGACACACACCACAAAAACCCAGAACCTTCAACAACACTGACCTGTATCACTCTGAACCAGAAACATTTTCATATGCACTGGAAACATCTCGCGAATTCACCGTGTAAACAGTGCAGTGATTGGCTGCTGAAAAACCCAGGACACAGCGGGGAAGACAGGTCTTCAAACAGAGCCGCGGTGTTTATACGCTTTCAACCCCCAAACGGCAGCGAGGGGTAACAGCTGAAATCGTGTCTTTTGGACTCGTTAACACAGGAATCCTAGAAAGTGACGAATCCCATAAACAGTGTTTATACTACACAGGGATAAGCGTGAATAAAGATCTAATGTTAGCAAGCACAGCTCTCTGTGTACAGAGCACTCCTGTTCACAACACTGTTTGTACTGCTTTTAACGATGTTTTACCAGACTCACAATTCAGTCTGAGCAGATGAGGAAATCTATAGCGTTTTGCTTTCTTAAAGTTGCATTAAGGAGGATTTTAAAACTTGATGCACCTTCCAAATTATACTGATGGAAAATTGTAGTAAAACGAGACAAACTGTACTTCGTTGTTGCTTTCAGGTCATTAATTTCTGTCTGGTGTTACTGTGATGTAATAGACAATCAGACAATAACAAAAAGAAGAAAAGAAAAAAGAAACATATTAGTCCACACTGCTCTTAACTAATTAAAATGATCACAAAAAGACCCCAAAGCTTTGATATGAGACCTTTAGTAAAAGAGAGAGGCAGTAAAAGAGAAAAATCTTTGAATATTCAGTGACAGCAGACTCTTCTCAGAGTGGGTGGGTGTGTTAGCAGCAGATGCAACCTTACATCTGCTGCTAACACACTTGCAGGATGTCATAATAACAAGGCGTGTCTCACAAATGAATCCTGAATATTTTCTCCACCTACCGTCACGACCTTCTCTCCTTCCTGCTAATCTGCTAAATTTCTATGCTACCGTTAAAATGAATGTGTAGCGACGTCTCTCCTACTGATTTACCTCCAGAACAGTCACAATACGTGTTGATTACCTCTGACAGTAAAGCTTCATCAGGGTAAAAGGTGACTCTGCAGTGTCCCTGCTTCCTGTTTTCGCTGATTTTACGGACAGATTCTCACATACAAAAAATAAAAAAAATAAAAAAAATCTTGCCTAGTGCAGCTTTAAAATGCTGTGAAAATCTCAAATCTAGTAGTTAACAAAAAAACAAAGCATATTGCTGAGAAGGACACTGCAGTGTGCCAATTACACAGCTGAATTACACAAACACGAGCCCATGCACCTGCTGTGTTAAATCTTTCAGCCAACCTTACTTCAGGCACTAAAAGGAAATGAATCCTTTGCCAGTTAAATTAGCACTTGTCAGCCACCAATTAAACGAACGCAACACCCACTGAAGACTTGGTTTTCCTGTCTGTATTTTTAGCATTGTTTCAGACAGCCATTCAAATGACTGTTAATGATCCCCACAGCACCCCACCCCTGAAGTGAGACGCAGAGTATATCCATCTCTGAAGACGTTTTTCTCCTCTGACAGAAAGACGCTCCACTCTTTGTCTGTTCGGCGTGGAATTATTCTCAAATTAGTCCCACATAAATCACAGTGGCAGCTCAGAATTTAAATGGCTCTGTAAAGGGGGGGAATTTATTGCAGGCTGTTCAGCGACCAGCAAAGTGCTGCACCAACCTGGATTTATGGGAACTCTTTAGCCTGTGTTTATATGATTATGCAGGTTTTCTTGTGAAGTGATGGCCTGATGGTTTCCGGATTGTTTTTGCTTTTCTGCATAATTGAGGATGATTTATAAGAAGCTGTGCAGTGCCACGCTGCCGCTCTGCCCTGTTCGGTGTCAGGCGATCCATTCATGAATTAATCTAACCACGCTGTCAGAGCTGTCTGTTTCCTATCAAGAGTTCAGCATCGATAATGGAGCCTTACAAGTTCGGCGCAGCTTCCCTCAGTCCGTCAAACGTACGTGGCAGCTGACAGACGTCTGGAATCGATAGCGGACGTCGTTATGAAGGTTGTTATGTTATGTTCCTCAAGAGTCTTTCCCAGAATGTACTTTTTGGAAGAGCAGAGGAGCTGCCAGTCAGACACCAGGCTTCATGACAGGCAATTTAATCTCAAGGAGAATGGAGGTCTTCAGAGTATCTGGCAGCATCGGACCAGGGGAGGAGTGTGGAGCACAGTCCCCATCCGCAGAATCATTTATCCTGAACACTGTAGAACAACCGAACTGATAGATCAATATGCTGGTGGTTCAAGGCCAGTCTACTGCACGTCCGTTGGTTCTGGGATGACACTGAATCTGAATGAATCCCTCAGGTGTTTCTGACCTTTACACTTGATGTTGCCTTTCACCTGCTCAGACGTTTGACCTGTGTAGATGTGAAGCTGCTGCTTGTTGAGGAGCTGATGACGTTGCTGTCAAATACAAATAAAATCTTAATATTATTTTACAAAATTTACAAAGTTATTTCCTGTTTTTTTTTTTTCCTTCTTTTTGCACAGTACAGCACGTTATAACTCTGGTTTCAAAGACACATTACAAATAAAGTTTACTTACTTTTGAGTCGTTAAGATTACGTAGAATTCATTAAATGGCTGAATTAAAATGAGCTTTTCCCGCTAACATCATCAACCAATGGACAGATTTTTATGAAAACTACAGTGAGTATTCATAGTTCCCAGACACAGAACCTTAAAGCTGCTATAATCAATATTTTTATAGATAAAATACTATTTGTATTGTACAGAGAATCAATCACTTATGCAGTTTCCCTTCACTGTTGGTCCCTATCTGTCAATAAGCACCTGTTTGCTACAGTGTTCACCATGTGACGTCTGTGTTGATGACTTGTTTCCACCGTCCAAAAAGATGAAAAAGTGAAAAAAAAAAAAAAAGGTCTCAATGCTGATTAATAGATCTGATTTTATAATTGTTTCCATCAGTGTGGGCGGAGACTCGTGTCTTTGTGCTCGGATCATCTATTGCCAATGCTGAGTTTTATTAATGCAGGTCACGCTCTCTTCTCTTTCTGCTCATCCACGGTTTCTGTCTATTGTTTTAATGGCGTTTTATCACTCACATATTATGCAGAATATATCTGAACACATGGCGATGTGGTGTATTTTATTAAAACACACGCTGCCGTAGCTTTGATTTCATTTTATTTTAATCAGATTTTCTTCTTCACAGGTGAATCTACAGTTCTGGTCTTTGTTAGATCATCAGAGGAGAAGAGAGTAATAATGCAGAGGACCTTTCTGTAAATAGAGACTTCCTTTCTTCTGGACCGCAGTTTATCTTTGGAAAACTCTGAATGCTTCTTCCTGAACTCTATGGACATCTGAAGAGAAGTAGATCCTATGAAATGGTACTGATCAGTCGACGCTTCTTCTTCGAAGGACTCCATGTGATTGGCCCTACCGGACGACAGGATTTACCCTCTGACACTATACTGCTCGTAGTGGAATACAATGGTGAACTTTGCCTATGTGTTAATTTGTAGAGTCTTATGTTCTTTACAGGGGATTTTGCATCACAAGATGACCAGGGTGAACAGCAGGTCGGTATGTTGTAAGCATCACAACTATTCATACAAACTGTGACTTTGTTTTAAATCGGTCAATTGTGACAAAGTGTAGTTTCAAATACAGATGAAAACATGCGGCGAGGCGGCGGATATTCAGGGTGATTTTCAAAGAAATACACAACCACATTCATCGCTACGTCATTCATATTAAAAGGACTGCTGAAGTTCTGCAGAGCTGTGTCAGGTGTAAACTAATCAAACCAGCTGTTGACAGACACACAGCTGGATCCAGTCCTGGTTTATTTGAAAATCACTCTGATTCTGTTTGTGTATCACAGCTCTGAGTTCAGACTCTGGACAACAACATTGTAAATGAAAACTGGGTGCCAACAACAACAACAACAACAACAACAACATTCCCTCAACTGTTTTCAACTAGTTCCTCCAGTATGATTTAAATCTGGTCACCTTTCAGTAGGTATCGCTAACACTTCCTCTGTCTGTGTAAGTGATGACATCAGTAATAAACTATGATTGTGTAACTAAAGCCTTGTGTCAGATATCACTGCACATCACGTCCACGCACCAGAAGTGCGCAGTAATGCACCAAACATCAGAAGAAGAAGAACTGTGTTTTACGGCGGTATCCGAGTTTAGCTTGACTGCTCCTCTTTTTTCACTTTCTGCATCATGACAAATGTGCTAATAGTCGATTACATTTCCACATGGATCACTTCAGAGCTGTCCTGCTTTATGACACATTGTTTAAGTGGTAAAACATTTACTGACATTGGTTATTCTTGGCTTTTAACAGTCGTCTCCGTCTGTGTCTCAGTAGTAGTTTAAAGTAATGTGGCAGTGACTGGGGGCTGCGGAGGGATGGAGGGATGGATGGATGGATGGATGGAGGAGGTTCTACTGAAAAGAATAGTCCAGACGAGAAATGAACATGAACTAGTTTAAGTGTGAACTTTCATAACACTGTACATTGCCCTAAATATTCGGAAGCCCTGAATGGCAAGTTAGATTTTTTTCTTTTTTCTTTTTTGTTATCTTTCATCTGTGAAAACAAGCGCTAAGAGGCAGGGAATAAAGAAAATAATTAAGACCCCCCAACCCCAATCCCCTCAAAAAAAAAAAAAAGAAAGAAGGAAAGAAAAAAAAAAAATCCACTTCATTCTAAACACAAGGTAGATATAATGTGTGTTAACAAGTTATGTAACATTACTTCCTTCTTCCTTCATTTGGCTAGAAATGTATTTTAATTTGCGAAGGTTTTCTGCCAGGGAGATTTCAGGAAGTCAGAAATAAGCTTTGATGGAAGAACCGATCACATGTAGGACTTTTAGCTCAGAGGCTGGGGTACGAGTCTGATGTTTAGCTCTCGTTTTTTTTTTTTTTTTTCCATCTGTGAAAACAACCCTCAAGAGGCAATGAAACAAATTATTTATATTTTTTTTGCTTTTCAGGGCTTCCATATGGATATACTATCAGCGGCAGGATTAACAGGCAGCTGATGTATGTTGGAAGCTGCTTATAGTTTTGGAAACAATAAGGTTAGGGGCTAATTGAGTGAAACTTCTTCCCCTCCTCCACATATTAGAAAACGCTCATTTATGTTTTTAAGCCCAATAAACTCATAGAGTTAAGATAAACAGACAGATAAAAATAAAATGACACAGCCCTGACAACCTCACACAGGGTTTGGAGATTTGTTAGTATTTAGAAAAACACACAGGAACAGTGAACATTTAATCCCAGTGTCTCATCAAAAGATTTCAATAATTAATGAAGGTATCTGCACTGTGCTCTGAGCCGACCTTTAATTCTGAGTCCGGTCTATATTAACTCATATTAACATAGTATATTAATGGGTTAAGTCAGGTCCAGCTTTCAATTAGAGATAACTGCAGGTAACAGATCGGTTCAGGTTCAGGTTTGGAGACTGGACCTGGCCAAGATAAAAAAAAAAACTACCTCACATACGTGAACTGAAGATATTCTTATTAACATGTTTTATTTCTTTGTGGCAGATAGGATGGATTGTTTTGTCGTTACTGATTATATGGATAAACACGAAAATATTCTTATTCTGAGTTTGAACTTTCAGTACAAAATGTCCTGACAGAAGTGACGGCGGTCAGGACTCGTACAGTTGCATTAGATGATCTTACTGTTTGAATGTGTCTTGATTATTACTCACATTATTTACTGTTAGATTCTGACTGATCCTGTCCACATGTCAGATTGCAATATTTAACACTGCTGGACTGTCCATGTGTAAAATTACACACAACAGGGACTGGCGGATGAAGCTGGATGTTGTGTGACGCAGCTACAGGTGTTCAATCAACCGCGTGCAGGAGAGCCGCCTTTCTACAGGTGGTTGTGGGCAGTTCTCTCATCACATAGACCTGCAGCAGGATTTAGACCTGTGGAGGATTTTGTCGGTGACGTTTTTCTCAGTCTCAAACATTTTGATGCAGGGTTTCATTCAGCGTCAGAAAAGATCGAAAAACCACTGAAAAGGTGTTTTATGATTTTGGAGTGGTGTGTGTGTAGTAGTATGTATAGAAGCGTGTGATCCGCCGCTGACCGTGCACGTCCTGGACTATGACTGCTGTGCATGTAAATCGATGATTTCATGCTTTTAATGCTGAAAGAATAAAGAAATCTATACACAGACACACCTCCTGCATCTTAATATAATCCAGAAACTCTGCAATAAATCTGACTGTAAAGCTTCTTGCAGTATATTTAGGTGTTGTTGGTTCTGTGTCAGAGAGGTGTTGACTCAGCTGGTGACTGTGTTTACAGGACTGATTCCGACAGAAAGGTTCTGACGGTGGATAAAATGTCACTGTTAACCCATTAAGACCTAAGGCGCCCTCTAAAATAAAACGTTGACTTGATGTTCACTAAAACCTTTATTATTCAGACTTGGAAGCAGATAGAAACATGAAATAGAAACCATCTGAGAGCTTAAACCTCTGACTTTCATTGTAAATCATTGCCTTTGCCCTTGAAACTGGATATGGCTAAAAAAAAACAAGCACATTTGCCTGAGAAAGGCTGAGAAATAAAAGGTATTGGTGACAGATACTGGCTGGCCAATCCTCCCCCTCCTCCATTTCCTCTTCCTCTTCCAACATGTCTCACGCTGGGCCTTGGCTAACTGGTTAGCAGCTTAGCAGGATGAAATCAGTGTCTGAATCTTCTAAGTCGTTGTTTTCGTCCAGCTATAATCTGCTTCAAGAGCGCTCCCCTCGCTCAGGTCATCAGCCATTGACTGAACCACAACCTTAAAAACTTTTTTGTGCCATAAAAAGAAAAGAAAAAAAAGAAAAACATTTCCCATGATGGATTTTGCCTTCCTGACCTGAATTTCAGCGAATCCCAATGCATCGGTCACATCTTAAAAACGACAAAATCATATACTACATGTGTACATCTCATCCAGTCTCAAAAGGTTAATATTAAAACCACCAACTGTGACATCACCACATATCTGAAATAGTTCAGTCAAAGCCTTGATGAAATATTACAAGGCACCTGCAGTGGATCAGATGTCATGTCTGACGACGTGTCGTGTCTCACAGCATCTGTGAACGATTCTATCACATGTATAAAAGCGAGACTGCAAAATTTACCATCAACCTTTCAGGGCCAGACCAAATGTTTCAAGTCACCTGACGACTTGATGCGCGCTCAGTCAACAATTCTAACTCCCCACTAACATCATGGTCCTTGACGAGCTCGTCACCTCAGAGGGGAGGCTGAGCTTTATCAAATCAACAGCCAAACATCTCAACGAAGCCCGTCCTGAATCCTGTTATCACAGCGGCTGAAATCACAGTGTGGAGTAAAGTGAAGCGTTCTGATGTAAATCAGCAGGTGAAACGGTCACTTTATTTTGAAACGCAGAGACAGATCAATACCTGCTTTGTAGTTTCCTGTTAAATTGTTTCAGATGGTCTTTTTTTTTTTCCCGTCAACAGGAGCAGTACCTCCTGTTATAATCATGTTGGCCCAGTCTGAGTCTGTTTTCTGTGAAAAATGAAACAAGCCTGTGGATGATAACTTCATTTTTTCTTTGTCCTCGGGGAGGGGAAATGATTCAACATAGTCACTGCAGTTTGGCAACAATTTTTTAGCCAGATCGGAGGAAACAGCAGGTTGTTTCACCTGCAGCAAACCAGACTTTAAGCTGCTCAAATCTAAATTTGATATCAAATCATCTGGGCTACAGGAATACATGTCTTATTTTCTACCTCTCTACCTGGCATTGATGATGCTGTAACCTTGGCTTCTGTACAGTTATTATTTCACAACCACTTGTATTTCTGATGTGTAACATCGAAGATGCTCTTGGTTTGAGTTGTTCTGGGACAGTTGTGAGCACATAACAAGGGTGGGCGTAAAATGTCAAACAGCAGAGTTGAGAGTCTTGTGTGTTGCAGTGATCAGGGTTACCGCTTTTTTCTCATTTTCCAGGACATTTTCAGTGACGGTCTCACTCATATGACGGACAGGAATCACAGCATACACCAGTATGTTCCCATCTGTGGAAGTCTGATTTAAAATAATACAGCCCAAACTCTGCTATAGTTATCTATGAAATCATCTCTTACGTGCTTAATTAATTATGAAATTATGACAAACTGATCGCAACAAATTTAATACAACTAAAACTACAATGTTAAAATGTACCATTATTATCATCATTATTCATTTATAACCTGACACTTCTTTCTTATGAGTTATATTAACCATTAACCACACCCCGAACACTGATAACTAAACAGCAGCCTATAATTTTCCTTACTGACAAATCTAGACTAAATGTGCGATTCAAAGTTGAACTTGCTCAGATTATTTTCTGCCGCTGGGTTAAAGTTAAACATTTCATGTCATATTATGGTCTGTTTTACCTTAACAAT